TGATCTCATGGTTACTGCTGTCAGCAGAGCCTACTTAGGATCCTGTCTGTCCCCATCTCCCTCTGTCCCTCCCCTGCTTGTGTGTGCATTTTCTCTCAAAAGGAAATAAGCATTTAAAAAATAAAATTTAAGACCTTGAAATTTTTTTCTCATATGATTTTCACAAGCCAACCTAATAGATGAAGAAATGTAGTAGAGTACAATAAGTGATTTGCCTAAGGGCCCATTGTTAATAAGTAATAACAAAGATCCATGTTCATTTTTAAATAAAAACTTGTTCAATAAGCATTTAATGAGAATCTGCAATCTGTCATAACTATGCTAGTTTTCCACCGTGAACTGACAGCCCAAGGGCTGTTATAAGCAATCCCAGCTTTGTTTTTTTGTTTTTTATTGAAGGGGGAGGAGAATTGAAGAAAAATTGAGGGATATTTGAGAACATTTGTCAAATAAATGTAAAGAAAAAGAGTGATACTACAGATTCCTTCTGCTAGATGTGAAGGTATTACCTTTCAAGATTGCTGAGGATTCATCTCCCCCCAGAGGAAACCACTGACCAAAACTTTGTCATTCCCTTGTTTTCCTTTCATAGTTTCACTACATGTTTGATTTCCTAAACTAGATAGTGTTGTCGAACTTTAAACTATATATGTTTTTTGCATGGCGCCTGGGTATCTCAGTCGGTTTAAGCGTCCAACTCTTGTTTTCGGCTCAGTCATGATCTCACAGTTTGTGAGTTTGAGCCCCACATCGGGCTTCTTGCTGACAGTGTGGAGCCTTCTTGGGATTCTCTCTCTCCCTTTCTCTCTGCCCCTTTCTCATTGCTCTCTTTGTCTCTCTCTCAAAATAAATACATAAATAACTTTAAAAATATAGTCATGTTCTTTGAGACTTTCTTTCATACATCTGAGATTCTTGAAGTCCTTACCTGTGGCTATGATGCATTTTCTAATTCCTTCTATAATAGACCTTTGATGGGCCTTTGAGTTGTTAACATCCCCCCTCCCTTACCATGTTGCAGAAACTGCTGTGAACATTCTTCTACATTCTTCTGGTACACATGGACAAAAGATTTCCCAGAGAATATACTTAAGAGTGAAACCTCAGACTCGTTGGAATTGTGCATATTTAACTTGACTAGAATGTGAATGAAATTTTCCAAGTTGTGCTGATGTGTGCTCCCACTCGCAAAGTAGAAGTGCTTCTGTTGTATCTTCACTAGTACTTGAAATCATCAGATTTCTAGGTTTTGTCAGACTTGTACATGTGAAATGATAGCTCCTGATAATTTTATTTGTACTTCTTTGATGACTGATGAGACTGAGCATCTGTTCATTTATTTATTGGTCATTTGTGTTTGTTGTTTGTAGTGCCCACTGAAGTCTTTGCCCATTTTTAAAAAAAAATTTTTTTTTTTTTTTTTGAGAGACAGACCAACAGAGCATGAGCAGGGGAGGGGCAGAGAGAGAGAGGAGACACAGAATCTGTAGCATGCTTTAGGCTCTGAGCTATCAGCACAGAGCCCAATTCGGGGCTTGAACTTGTGAACCATGAGATCATGAGCTGAGCCAAAGTTGGACATTCAACCAAATAAGCCATCCAGGTGCCCCATTTTGCCCATTTTTCTATTGTATGTTGGTCATTTTCTTACTGATATGTCTGAGTTCTTAATGTATTCTGAATACCAAACTGTTGTACATCTTGTATGTTGCACGCATCACCAGTTTGGGTACCTTCTTGTCTTTCCATCACTCTAGGGCATTAGAAGGTAAAGAAAAAGTCTTAATTTTAATGTGATTGAATATATCTCTTTCTGGTTTGGACCATGTGTATGTGTATTTTATTTTATTTCCTATTCTGAGCTCATAAAAAATATTCTCCTACATGGCCTTTGAAGATTTTTTTTAAGTTTCCTTCGACATTTCTCTTTAAGCTGTCTGGAATTGATGTTTGTGTATGGGATCTGTGGAAGAGATCTGATTTTATTTTTCCCACATATGGATAATTACCTGTTCTGGCATCCTCCTTTCCCCACTGATCTCTCTAGGGACTCTGTTGTCATAAAATAGATTTCAACGTGTATGTATCTGTTTTGGGCTTTCTATTCTCTTTCATTGGTCAATTGATCTGTCTCTGCTGATACCATCCTCTTAATTACTGTAGCTTTATAATAGCTTTTGATATGTTGAGCAAATCTTTCCATTTTATTTTTCTTCAGGAATGTCTTGGGTTTTTTTTGGCCCTTTGCAACTTACATAAAAATTTGAGTCCACTTGTCATGTTCCACAAAAATTTCTCTTGTGATTTTGATTAGAATTGCATGGAATCCACCAATTTGGGGAGAATTGACATTTCATTTTGTTGAAGCTTTTCTTCCGTGAACTTAATATTTTTTAAAGTCCTTTAATGTCTTTAATATACACATACATTTTTTAAGTTTGGTTTTTTGTTTGTTTGTTTTTTTGAGAGAGAGCATATCCACATGTGCACCTGCACGGGCAGAGGGAAAGAGAATCTTAAGCAGGCTCCATGCCCAGTGCAAATCCCAGTTTGGGGCTTGATCTCATAAGATCATGACCTGAGCCAAAATCAAGAGTCAGACACTTAACTGACTGAGCCACCCAGGCACCTTAAGATTTTGTTTTCTTTTTAAAGTAATCTCTGCACCCAAGTGTGGGGTTTGAACCCACAACTGCGAGATCAAGAGTCGCATGCTCCAGCAACTGAGCCAGCCAGGTACCCCTGAATGTATTTTCACTAATTATCTTCATAAAGGGCTACTTTTGGTTACAGTTTTATTTACTTATTTTGAGAGAGAGAGAACGCATGGGTGGGGAAGCGGCAGAGAGAGAAGGAGAGAGAAGGAATCCTGAGCAGGCTCTGCACTATCAGTGAGATCTGGGAGATCATGACCTGAGCTAAAGTCAGACCTGAGCCACCCATGCACCCCAATTCATAGGCATTTTTTAATGCTGTTGCCAGTGACATAATTTTTTTATTGTGGTAAAACATAAAATCTATCATTATAACCTTTTTTGTATGTACAATTCAATGGCGTTAAGTACATTCACATTGTTATGCAACCAACCCCAGAATTTTTCTGCCATCCCAAACTGAAACCCTGTACCCATAAAACAGTTCCCCATTCTCCCTCTACCCAGCTCCTGGTAACCACTTTTCTACTTTGTCTATGAATTTTACTAACCTAAATACCTCATGTAAGTACAATCTTTTTTTTTTTAATGTTTTATTTATTTCTAGGAGAGAGAGAGAGAGAGAGAGAGAGAGACAGCGTGAGCAGGAGAGGGTCAGAGAGAGAAGGAGTCACAGACTCCGAAACAGGCTCCAGGCTCTGAGCTGGCAGTCAGCACAGAGCCCGACGCGGGGCCCGAACCCACGAACCGTGAGATCATGACCTAAGCGAAAGTCGGACGCTTAACCGACTAAGCCACCCAGGCGCCCCAAGTACAATCTTAAATGACATGTTTTTTAATAATAAATTTTTCTTTTTTGGAGTTATGAAATACAGTCAATGCTTTATTAGATTGGTTTTTATATTTATCAACCTTGCTTAAGATACTTAATTGTAACAATTTAGCTGTATTGAGTTTTCTGCATAACCAAGAATATTACATGTGAATGAGAGGCTTTTCCTACTATTAAACCTGGCCATCGAGTTTTAAATTCTAATTAATTTTTTTAATACCTAGATGTTGTTCGGTTCTTTTTCAAGTCTGTTGGCTGCCTCCTCTTTTAAAGCTTCTCTTTTATTTAACCTGTTAACTATTATCTGATACCTAGTTCTGATATAAACTCTGCCAGTCTGATTCTGCTGTTTCTGCAACTGCTTCCTCATGGTGCTGTGTTTTTTGTATATATTTTGTGTGTGGATTCATTCTTTGGAAGTTAATTTCTGCCAGAGGCTTGGTGGTAATGCTTGCTCCCTTAGGACCACTTTATTTATTTATTTATTTATTTAAATTTCATTTTTAAGTAATCTCAGCACCTGTCATGGAGCTTGGACTCACAACCCTGAGATCACAAGCTGCACACTCCACCAGATGAGCCAGCCAGCCATCCTCCACCACCACTTTAAACTAAATTTTTCACCTGAGAACCATTTGGAACCGTTACTTAGTTTAAATTTGGGCTCTTCACTCATTAGAGGGCTGGGCTGATATGTGCTTATGATTTTTCATTGTTTTTGGTGGTTATTTTGTGCCAAAGCAGGAGAGGGATTTCACTGGGGCAAGTTTTATAATCCCCTAGGGACGATTTCTGGCTCACCCGTGCACTGAGGGTATATTAGGGTCTCAGCTTTACAAAGAATTGCTTGGGCATCTGGGCAATTCAGCCTGTTAGGCGGCTGACTTCTGCTCACATCATGATCCTGCGGTCCTTGGGTTCGAGCCCTGCGTTGGGCTGTATGCTGTCGGTGGGCTCTGTGCTGTCGGCTCAGAGCCTGGAGCCTGCTTCGAATTCTGTGATTCCCTCTCTCTCTGCCCCTACTCCGCTCAAGCTCTGTCTCTGTCTCAAAAATAAACATTAAAAAAAATTTTTTTACAAGGAATTACTTGTTAGACACTCCACCTTCAGCAGACTTTGGTCTTCACTTCCTGTGCTTTGTCCTGCAACACTGTGAAAATCCAAGCTCAGATTTTTACCTGCTTTGGTCAATGAATGCCTGCCCCCTTTAGTGATTCTAGTTACCAATTCCTCTTTCACTTGGTCTTTATCCACTTGCTCGCTCATCAAGGCATTTTTAAAGTTGTTTTTTACATTTTATCAAATCTTTTCAGTCATATTCATTAGGAATGTAAAGCACAGTAACAAATCCACTACATTGTTGGCTGTTCCCGTATCATCTTACTATGTTGTTTCTAGTCATTTTGGAAAGGAAACTTGGAGTTAAATCTGTACCTTAAAAAATGTATAAAAATGAGATGGAGTGGGGCCTATTACAGCTGCTAATTAATGATATTTCTTTTTTTTTTTAATAGGTGTCAGCTGTGATGCATGTTTAAAAGGAAATTTTCGAGGTCGCAGATATAAGTGTTTAATTTGCTACGATTACGATCTTTGTGCATCTTGTTATGAAAGTGGTGCAACAACCACAAGGCATACAACTGACCACCCAATGCAGTGCATATTAACAAGGGTAGATTTTGGTACGTATTTCCTTCACATTCTAATGGTTTGTCCTTGAGAATTTCGTGTACGTGCGTGAAGACGGTTGAAGGCAAAATGTTCTAAAACTGTTCCTAATAGCATACATTAAAAATAACATGAATCTTTTATATTCTGAATAATTCTCGTAATCCTAGCCTAACTATTCATAAAAGCCATTCAGGTATCTAGAAAATGGACAAGGTATGAGATGGAAAGAGTGCATCAATAAAGAAGGAGTGAATAAATGGACCGTTGGTGCCAGCAGCGGGCAAGTATTCTTGCCCTGGCTCTCGTAAAGCACACTGTTTCTATGGTTGACTAGAAGCCCTTGTTAATCCATAAGAAAAGCTATAAAATGTTTCATGCTAGAATTTCTTACCTAGTTGGCACTTGGGGGTTTGTTTTTGTTTTAGAAGAGAGCGCGCGAGTGGACGCAAGAGGGAGGGAGAGAGAATCTTAAGCAGGCTCCTTGCTCGACACAGAGCTTTTCTCTTTCCAGCCATCCTAGTGGGTGTGAAGTGGTGTCTCATATGGTTTTTGTTTGCATTTCTCTGATGGCTAATGACAGTGATAGTAACCATCTTTTCTTGTGCTTACTGGCCGGCCATTTGTATATCTACATTGGAGAAATGTCTATTCAGATCCTTTGCCCATTTTTTAAATTGGGTAATATGTCTTTTTATTATTGAGTTTTATTATTTCCTTATATACTCTTTATAAAAGCTCCTCATCAGGTGGATGATTTGCAGAAATTTTCTCCCATTTCATGGGTTGTCTTTTCACTTTTTTGATGATGTGTTTTGAAGCACAAAGGTTTTCAATTTTTTTGTTGTTGATTTATTTATTTTGAGAGAGAGAAGTAGAGAGTGAGTTGGGGAGTGGCAGAAGGAGAGAGGGAGAGAGAATCCCAAGCAGGCTCTGTACTGACATGCAGGGCTCAAACTCCCAAACCATGAGATCATGACCTGAGTCAATCCAGTGTTGGATACTTAACCAACTGAGCTACTCAGGCGCACTACAAAAGTTTAAATTTTGATGATGTCCAGTTTATCTTTTTTTTCTTTTGTTTTGATTTTGGTGTCATATCTAAGAAACCATTACCCAGTCTAAGATCATAAAGATTTAAATTTTTGTTTTTTTCTAAGAGTTTTATCGTTTTTACTTTTACATTTTTTTTTAAAGTTTTATTTACTTAACTAATCTCTACACGCAGTGTAGGGCTTAAATTCACAAACCCGAGATCAAGAGTCACATGCTCTTCCTACTGAGCCAGTCAGGCACCACTTATGCTTTTACATTTAGATCTTTGATCCGTGTTGCATTAAATTTTGTGTATGGAATGATGAGGTAGATCATTGATTTGCATATGGGTGTCCATTTGTCTCAGCATCATTTATTGAAAAAGAGTATTCTTTTTTTTTTTTTTATGTTTGTTTATTTTTGAGAGAGAGCAGGAGAAGGGGAAGGGGCAGAGAGAGAGAGGGTGACACAGAATCTGAAGCAGGCTCCAGGCTCTGAGCTGTCAGCACAGAGCTGGATGCAGGGCTGAAACCCACAGATCATACAATCATGACCTGAGCTGAAGTCGGACGCTTAACTTACTGAGCCACCCAGGCGCCCCTGAAAAAGACTATTCTTTACACAGTGAATTGTCTTAGCATCCTTGTTGAGAATCAGTTGATCTGAAGGGAAAGGGGTAGGGGAATGGTGTAATGTTGGTCATATGGTACAGAGTTTCATTATGCAAGATGAATAAGCTCTCGAGAGCTAATGTACAGTATGGTGACCATAGTTAACAATATTGTATTGAATACTTAAAATTTTTGGAGAGGATAGATCTTAAATTTTTTTTAACACACACACACACTCAGAGGTAACTATATAGACATGGCGATATTTTCACAGTGCACACTACATCAGAACATCAAGTTGTATACCATAAATATACACAATTTTTATGTGTCTAAGATAGCTTAACACAGCTATTAGAAAAGTCAGTTGACCATAAATGTGTCTTTCCTTAGAGTCTCATTGCTTTGCAGATCTGTCTATGTGCTAGGATCACAGTCTTAATTGCTGTAAACTACTAGTAAGCTTTGAAATTGACCACTATGAGTCCTCCAGCTTTGTTTTGTTTTGTTTTTTCAAGATTGTTTTGAGTATTCTAGATCCCTTGAGTTTCTATGCAAGAATTTTAGCATCACCTTGTCACATTTCTGCAAAGAAGCCAACTGGGATTTTGATGGGGATTGTTTTAAATCTGTAGATCAGTTTGGAGAGCAACAGTGAACTAATGCTAATCAGTGAACATGAGATGTTTTTCCATTTGTTTAGTTTGTCTTTAATATTATTAAAAAATTTTTTTAGTGTTAATTTATTTTTGAGACAGAGAGAGAGCATGAACAGGGGAAGGGCAGAGAGAGAAAGGGAGACAGGGAATCCAAAGCAGGCTTCAGGTTCCGAGCTGTCAGCACAGAGCCTGACGCAGGGCTGAAACTGGTCAACCATGAGATTATGACCTGAGCCAAAGTCGATGCTTAACCAACTGAGCCACCCAGGCGCCCTGGTCTTTAATATTTTTTTAACAAAGTTTTATAACTACCAGAGGCTGTGTTTTACACTTCCTCTTTAAATGTATTACTAAGGATTTTATTCTTCTTGCTATTGTAAGTGGATTTTTAAAATTTTATTTTTGGATTGTTCACAGCATGTGCATAGAAAAATAGTTGGTTTTTGTATGGATCCTATATCCTATGATGTTTTTGTTGTTTATTCTAAAAGTTTTTTTATTGGATTTTTAAGGATTTTCTATATGCAGAGTCATGTCATCTGCTAATTACAGATGGTTCCACTTCTTCTTTCCCTCTAGCTGCTTTTCCTTTCATTTTCTTGCCCAATTACTAGACCCTCCAGTAAAATAATGAATAGAAATGGCTAAAGCAGACACTCTTGTCTTGTTCCAGGTCTTAGGGAGGAAAACATCCAGTCTTTCACCAATAAATGTGATGTTAGCTATGGTTTTTTTGTAGATGTCCTTTATCAGATGAAGAAGTTTGTTCTTTTGTATATTTATCCCCACCAATCCCAAATCTACCTGGCAAGTCTTATGCGTATAATAAATAATATATGTATGGGGGAGGGCAAATATTTTTAAGATAGCCTAAATCTTCCTAAAAATTAATGTAAACAAATCTCTCACATAACAAATACTCTTTCTCTTATAAAATTTTCTCTTATAAAAATGATCATATCGTATTAAGCATTTGTTTCATGTTAAGTATAGTTCTTTGGAATGAAGTGACATAACATACTTTCAATTGCATTTCCTTTTGTGTTACTAATGAAGAAAAACAGACTTATTTCTTGAGATATACTAAAGAGGCAAACAAATGATTCCCCGAGAATACCACTAATCCGTCCCTTCTTCAGTAACCAACATGGACAGAGTATGTTGCGGCAGTACTTCATTCAAGTTAGCATTTTTACAAGAACTGAGTGTGGAGGGTCCTTCCTGCTGGAAGAATAGTGTGTGCTTTGGACAAATAGCTGTGTCTGGGGGTTGGCATATTGATCACAGTTGCCTATTCCGAGCACTTGTGTTCTTGTGTTATGATACACCCTGCTGATTCTTTTTTTTTTTTTTTTTTTTTAAGATTTTTATTTTAAGTAATCTCTATACCAAATGTGGGTCACGAACTCACAACTCCGAGATGAGAAGCCACACACACTCCCCGGACTGAGCCAGCTGGCACCTCTCACCCTGCTGATTCTTTGTGTTGACACTGTCATTACTACACATACAAAGAAAAAATAAATTACAGTAAAATTAGAACTCGATGTGAAATGAGAGATGTTTCAGAATTAAATAAAGGGAGGACGCCCGGCTGGCTCAGTCAGAAGAGCCTGCAACTCTTGATCTTGAGGTCGTGAGTTCAAGCTCCACGTTGGGTATAGAGAGTACTTAAAAATAAATCTTTAAAAAATTCAAAATTAAACAAAAGGATAAAAAGTTTGTTTTTCTCTTAAGGCAATAATAGCTATGTGGGCGGAAAAGAAATTTTGGAGGAGGTGTCTTGGAGTCCCAGGCAAAAGAAGGTGTTGCACATAAGAGGGACCTAAGCTAAGTACTCTTTGACAGGGTGAGGTTTTTAGAGATTCCCAAGGTTTTGGTACATAATTGTTTCACATTATTGTACCTACCATATGTTTATATGTTCACATACGAAAAGGAAATAAGAATTATTATTTCTCACTGCAGTTCCACTTTATTTTTCAGATTTGTACTATGGTGGGGAAGCTTTCTCTGTAGAGCAGCCACAGTCTTTTACTTGTCCCTATTGTGGAAAAATGGGCTATACGGAGACATCTCTTCAAGAACATGTTACTTCTGAGCATGCAGAAACATCAACAGAAGTGGTAAGTGAAGCCACTTGTATCTAAAGTGATGTGTTAACGCACATTATTTCTAACAAAAGTAAAGCTAGGTCGCTATCTTCTGTCTCCTACTAAGTGGACTGATACTGTTTGCATAATAATTATTAAAATGATCTTTTAACAGCAAGTTTTACGCATCCTAGGAGGTGGCGTGTGTGCCACCTAACACGCTTGGTTTATCCACACTGGCCATTCTCGCCCTGTTGCAAAAGCACGGTGTGGGATCTTGACCAAATTCAGGAGACATTAGCAAATGTGCCGTGAACGGGTTATAGACACCCCACCCTGCAGCACAGCTCTTTCTGAAAAGCAGGTATTCTTGCTACCTGCTTAATTTTTCTTCTACAAGGATGTCTTTGTAATGAAATTTTAAAATCTTAAGTCAGAGGTAGTAATTCATTGTTACATCTCATTATAACGTATCGCTTACTTTGTTTTCATTAGGTCAGATCTCTTGGTTCATTGGTCAGAGCTCTAAGGTCCCTACAAGTTCCTTCTACTCTAATCTTTCCCAACTGGCTAAGAGCCAAGGACCTGGAATAATGCACAAAGGAAATCTTGCCTTGAAAGCTTTTTGGATAGTTAACTTGACATCTGAGTCAGCATATATTCAGTTTTTAAGAAATGATAAAGTACACCCAAAAGAGTGCCCTTCCCCCCTTTACTATTGGTAATAATAGATCAAGTGAGAGATGAGAATTGGAACTGTAGATCTGGGATTTGGAGAATTTTGGCACAAGCAATTGCACATTGCACATCAACTAATGTTGCATTGTACATCAAGCCCCTAAATGTCTCCAAAACAAATTAGCTGAAACTCAAGAGCAATAGGGTGTCCAAGGACATACGGCTGCCGAGGGGCAGAGCCAGGTGTTTGGACTCAGCCGGAGTCCCTCTGGGTTGTAGAGTCCCTACGTAACCACCGTCCTATTTTATCTCCGCTACAGCCCTGCTTTCACAAAGCTGTGAGTAGTACAGGCTCACTTTTATTCCCATTTACACTGCTTACTTGGATGCTTACAGTTGCTTGTAAGGTGTGTAGTTAAAACAGTTGGTCAGTGGACATTATGTGGTCCTGAAGCCAGATTTTCCCATCTAGCAGCTCAGAACTGCTCTCATCTGGCAGCTTGGGGAGCCTCAGAACACTGTTGGCACATTTTACTACTGTTCTTAATTTGTTGTTCTTATTTTGTAAAGGTGACTTTGCTTCCTTTTGGTACAGTCCCAGCTACCAGTATGAGGAATGTGGACTTGACCGCATCTCCATCCTCATTGTTGTGGGAAATTTGGAATAATTTCTTTTTGACTTAATTTCTGTTACCAGATACAACAGAGAGGGGTGTCTCTTCCTGAACCAGGCATTCTTAACATCCTCACTAACCAGTAGGCCCTGGTATAGTACCTTCATCACTCCACCAGGGCAGGACAGCTACTTAGTTTTCCACACTCAAAATTGGAGACTCCAGCAGAAAATTGAGTCATTTCCATGAGTGAAAAGCTAGTTTTTTTAAATAAGAATTAGTAGTTCTGCCTCAGCAGCTTTGCCTTTATTTTTTTTCCTGAAAGTAAATACTCATAATTTGTTTACACTTCTCTATACCTGATACACAGTTTGAAAATTAAATATTTACCATCTGCAAATGGTTTAGTGGTCTGTCTCTCATAAGTCATGTTCAGTTTGTGCCTTTATTAAGTTCCCAAGGTTTTGGTACATAGTTCAAGACACTGGCCATACTGTTTTTAAAATTCTTTTTTGTGGAGTATTTTAAGGATTGCTCTCTCCTCACCAGCCCTTAGTCTGCACGAACACTGCATCTGCCCTCTGTTTCCACCCAGGCATTTCAGAGTGAAAAACGGCAAACAGACAAGAATCTTTGATGTGAAGGTGCAGGGTTTTCTCTTCTTCACTTCATGTGAGTCCTGTCCTCCTCAGTGCAAGGCTGGCACTACGTATGGCTTACTGACTAGTGTCTGTTCTGAAGGATTGGGGTCTCTGCCACCAGTTATTAAGTATTTTGAGTGCCTCTCTGTATACACGTGAGCATATATAAATGTCCAGATAATGTTACTAGGTGTCCCTTCTCATCCCACCCCCTATCCAAGTATTTTGCCGAGGTTATGGTTAGTCAAACGTGGAAAACTTCTGGAGTTCAAGAGTGACTCATGGTATTTTGGTGGGGGACTCATCTGTACCTCATTTTCTAGTCCTGTTTACATTTTTCTTTTTTCTTTTTAGAGAGAGAGAGAGAGGACACAAGTAAATGAGGGGGAGAGGGAGAGAGAGAGAGAGAATCCCAGGAGTGGCAGAGACAGAGAAGTGGGGCTTACCTGAAGCAGAGCTTGAGTTCACCCATTGTGGGACTTGAACTCACAAACTGTAAAATCATGACCTGAGCTGAAGTCAGATGCTTTAACAACTGAGCCACCCAGGCGCCCCACCTACATCTTTGTTTTTAAATGCTTAATATGCTACCTTGCTTTGTTCCTTCCATGTGTTGGCTAGGCCATGGGTTTGTACCATCATGGGACTTAAGGATCTCGCTCCTCTAACCAGCATCTGTTTGGAACATTTAGGGGTAAAAGAATACATCACTGTAGATATTATTCTCACCACCAGTAAGCGTTTACCAATACCAGACATAGCTAGTAAGAAAGTCTCCTGAAGGTTAATTTTTAAAACAACTGTGTAGGGGCACCTGGATGGCTCAGTCAGTTAAGTGTGTGACTTCAGCTCAGGTTATGATCTCATGGTTCATGAGTTCAAGCCCCACATCAGACTCTACACTGCAGAGCCTACTTGGGATTCTCTCTCTCTCCCCTCTCTCTGCCCCTCCCCCCCCTTTTTCTCAAAATAAATAAATAGATGTTTTTTAAAAAGAAGAAACAAAACAACCTTATGGACAACTATATAACTTTGTCTATATATATGTTTTCTTTTTCAAATAGGGACTCTAAAGACTTCAAATTGAGATTTCTCTCCCTGCTTAAGATTAATTTGTGATTACTCAAGAGACTCTGAGTTTGAGGGTATGGATGGAAGACCCTTCAAAATCAGATACTGTGAAAAACAACATCTGACATAGAATGCATAGTTAAGGTGATTGCTAGTTAAAAATTTAAAAAGTAGATTGAGTATAGCCTCAGAAGTCTTTTTTTTTCCACCTAAGTTTTTATTTATTGATTCTGAGAGAGAGCGAGAGCAAGCACGAGCAGGGTAGGGACAGAGAGAGAATCCCTCACTGTCAGCACAGAGCCCGATGCAGGGCTTGAACCCACAAACCGTGAGATCATGACCTGAACAGAAACCAGAGTCAGACGCTTAACCAACTGAGCCACTCAGGCAGCCGTCAGGAGTCTCTCTGTAAACTAAATGTGATAAACAATGTGATTTTGAGATTAAGCACAAATTCTTAAATCCCTCTTAGTTACCATGAGTTTTGGTAGATTGGGTAATGGAAAGAATTAAGAGGGGAAGTAGTACAGTATGTAATTTTAAAATCCATCAACCTCGTAGTAGAAGTAAGCAATAGTGGTCAAATGGGATTGCAGATACGAAGAAGGATTATTGAGAAAGTATTAGGATGGTGGAAGAAACATGGTAGGTAGAAAAGCTTTTCTTTGGACATAAAAGAGCATTGAGAGGTGACTCCTGAAATTTTTCTTAAATCTTATATATTTGAGCTTGCACTGTATGTAGCTAATTAGAAGACCTTCAGAGATTTTGTTGTTTGTAGATGAAATGTGCTGCAACGTTTCATTAAAGATATGTAGTTAGTTTTCTTTCAGTTCTTAGTCTACTAAATCTCTTGTAATTTTTCTGAAGAATATTATGCTTGAAAGATAAAAGCACTTTTTGATTTACTGACATTTTCTTCCCACTTCCAAAAATGTATGTGTTAATGTATTATTCTGTTTATAATAACAACAGGCCTCTAATAGGTCATTGCTGGGAACTTTGTGCTTTCTGTTTTTCATTTGATTGACTCCTTTTCATTACTCTCCAGAAAAGGGATTAGGGTAGTGTCCAGCTTTTAAGTGCTCTTCATTTATGTTAATTATACATTTCTCCCTCTCCCCCCTCTTTTTTAATGTTTATTTATTTTTGAGAGAGACAGTGAGAGAAACAGTGTGAGCGAGAGAGGGGCAGAGAGAGGGAGACACAGAATCTGAAGCAGGCTCCAGGCTCTGAGCGGTCAGCAGAGAGCCTGATGTCAGAGCCTGATGTGGGGCTCAAGCCCACGAACCACCAGGTTATGACCTGAGCCAAAGTCAGATGCTCAACTGACTGAGCCACCCAGGCGCCCCTCCCCCCTTGTTAAATTTTATTTATTTTGAGAGAGAAAGCGAGCAGGGGAGGGGCAGAGAGAGAGAGATGGACAATCTCAAGCAGGCTCTGCATGGTCAGTGTGGATGGAGCCCAGAGAGGGGTTTAAAGTCACCAACCTGTAAGATCATGACCTGAGCCGATCAAGAGTCAGACACTTAATCAACTGAGCCACCCAGGCACCCCCATTTCCCTCCCTTTTCAGTGAAGACTTAGATGTGTTTCTAACAAATAGAGTTTAATTTTGAAATGTATAGTTGTACTGTGTTCCATTTATAAGAAATAAAAACCAAGGAGAAAGAACGATTTTGGAAATTTCCCATAGTCTGACTTGAGACAGTTTTATTTTGAATAATAATTCTTAGGGCATCTGGTTGGCTCAGTCAGAAGAGCATGAGACTCTTGATTTCAGGGTTGTGAGTTTGAGCCCCACATTGGGTGTAGAGATTACATGCATACATACATACAGTTTAAAAATTAATAACAGTTCTTATGGAGAAAAATGATAGCATAAAAGGACCTTTGAATTTTTTTTTCATGATTCAGAATAATGGGCTCTAGCTGGCAACTTACTTGGTATTTAAACAGTTTGAGTGTCATAGAGCACAGAAGAGAATTTTACCATCATTGTCGTGGCAATTTGTATATAAAGTATTAG